CAACAACACACGGCCGAGTGTGAACTTTTCTCCTTCATTCTGGGGGGAGATGAGGAGATTGGGACATGTAGATGGCGGCGGGGGGCGTATCTGTGAGTGGCTCATAGTCAACCTCGCCCTATACAGTGACGGGAACAATGGCTTCTTGGCCGCGATTGACCGAGGGGATAAGAGATATGATTATCTCTCGCTTCCTCCCGGCTTGCAATGCAGCAATCCATCGCGGTGATAGCATGCAAGAAGGAAACGTAGCAAGTGGAGCTAGCTCGACACAAGGATCTCACGAAACAACTCAACTCGGTCCGGTATCGACACATAGCGCGACACTATAACGCAGCGGCTGATTCTCTCGCTACAGAAGCACTTGAAGCTAAAGCTGGACGAGTAATTCTCGGGACGGATAGGAAAGCAGAACTGAGAATGATTAACCGAGTAGCTGAAGAACCGTACGCCACAGACAACCCAGCGGAAACCCCGATTGTCACAGCAGTCACTCGTAGCCGAGTACGCCGAGTTCACTTTGAGGACGAGCTGGATGAAGACTCGGCTAGAGCAAGAGGAGGAAGTCAGGATCACGAAGCCATATCAACAAATCCTGGAGAATCGGCGTTTGGAAGCAGTGGAGATGAATTCGAACAAGTCAGCAGGGCATCAGCTCGGCGGACTAACCACACGACCCCGAATGTCGAAACAGGGTCGCAGATGGAGTCAGCCCAAACAGCTCAGAATGGCAACGACATTGATCCAGTGACAGTACAGACTGAGCGGAGACGATGAATCGCGAAGGCACAAGATGAAGAACTCAGGTGGGCCGATCTGAAAGCGTACCTGAGAGGCGAATTTGAGGACCTTACACACCGTCGAGCTCAGAATGCCGGCAAAGTCGCAGAAGTCTTTGTACTCAGCGAAGACGGCCTGTTATACCGCCGAGATGAAGCTCGCCGACAGGGCGAACTCGGCGAACCGAAATTCTCATTGAGACTGGTGATTCCGTCAACTATGGTCGACGAGATACTTCATAACTGTCACAACTCGATCGAAGGGGGACATCAAGGCATCGTCAGAACGTATCACCGAGTCAAGGCCGACTACTACTGGATTGGTCTTTACGCCGACGTGGTGAAACATGTTAGGGCCTGCGAGGACTGCAGTACCAGTAAGAGCAAACCACAGTTAAGAGGTTACTCGCCGGGAAATGTGGTGTCAGACCATCCATTCCAAGTCGTGTCAATGGATTTCGTGATTCCCCTACCTCGAACTCAGCGGGGCAATACTGCACTGCTGCTGTTCCAGGACCACTTCACGGGGTTCGTTATCGCTAAGGCTATGAATGACACCGGGGCACTCGAAGTGGCCAAGGTATTTGAAGAATGCGTCTTCAGGCAGTTCGGGGCTCCGTCTCTGATACGGCACTACCGAGATCCAAGGTTTATGAGTCTAGTATTCCAAACTTTCTCCGAGATGATGCAGTCGAGATCAAGAGCTACGCTGAGTTACCGACCACAAGCCAACGGTAAACAAGAGAGGTCAGTCAAGACAATGGTTCAGACTATACGGGTCTACGTGGAAGACCCACTTCAAGCCGACTGGGATGACATCGCCGAGAAGATAGTACACGCTATCAACAACTCAAGAGACTCGACTCGGCGGGAAACCCCTTTCTATCTGGTACATGGTTGGGACGCCAAGTCTACACTCAAAGCTATGACGAGCTCAATACGACGTGGACAGGGACGCTCAGCCAACTCAGCGGACGCAGTCGAGTGGCGCCGAGAAGCGAACAGGCAACGAGAAGTTGCCCTTCGATTAGCGGCTGAGTTCCAAGTGCGAGAGAAGGCACGACGAGCTCGAGAGTGAAGAAGGTGATGGTTGGATCTTGTGTCTTGCGAGGGGAGGACTGCCGAAGCTTGGGGCGAGGAGGCCGAGGCGAGGGAAGTCACTTGAGGGGCAGCATGGAAATTCAGAAGTGATTGATTGATAAGAACTTACACTGTCTTCTCTACCTAGTTTGCATCCAATCATTTGGTGCATCCAATCACCAACACTCTGTACTCGTCTAATCATCGGTGGCGTAAACATCCTACCGTAATCATCGCGGGATCGTATTGGATCACCTGCAACAGAGAGCACAACGAAGCACTGAGCAAAAAGGAGAAAAGATCCATTCCCAACACAGCAGGTGACGAAGATAGAGTTGCAGAACCAGGCGATAAATCCACCAATTCCTTGTTCAAAGAAGGAGATCAAGTCTGGTTGTTTATGGAGCGAGTCAAGTCGGGCCTGACCAAGAAGTTAGCCCATCGATGGCATGGACTATTCAGGGTGAAGAAGAAGATGGAAGAATTCGCCTATGAATTGGAGCTACCCGACAAGTGTGGATATAGGTTCTACCCAGTGGTCCATGTATCACGTCTGAAGGCAGTCACCGAACTCGGCGGAAGACCAAAGACGAGGCTAATCGCCGACCTCGAAGAGACTCAGCGATTTGACTTTGAAGAAGAATTACTGCCTGAAGACAGCTGGGAGCAGACACAAGTACGAACCAGTATGAAGTTGAAGCAATTCTCGACGATGAGCTACCATTATCCACGAGTACGTCCCGGTCACAACGGAAGTTTAAGGTTAAGTGGGTCGGCTACGATGCCTACTTGGGAACCACTGTCGAATTTGTCATGTGGAGGTCTCCTGTTTGACTATCTACGACAGAATGTTGGAGGTGCAAGATGTGCACGTACATCGACTCCAGAGTAGTATCCTATGTTACGGCATATGGAAGGTTCTAGAAGGATCTAGGCATAGTGATAGGTCTTAGTTAGCGGATGGTTGGTTAGTTCTCACTTCGAGATTGGTAAAGCCACTGACGAGGCCTCGGCGGGGGCAGAAACGCGTCTGGCACGCGCTCAATCCAAGTCATTCACATCTACTCGATTCTACATTTCCTACAGGTTATGAGCCCAAACGGCTTGGTATGGGCACTGCGGTGTACGCGGAATACGCGCTGGGGGAGTTCACGCTCAAGTCGTCGCGGAAGCAACGGGCTCCGACGACAGGGGGAGCGGACCATACAAGTGCGCGGTGGACACGCAGTCGCTCTTTGCGTTCGGGAAAAGGACGGCCGAGTTCTGCACAAGGAGGTGGTTTCGAGTGGTGTGAGTGGTGGATCGAAAGAGGTCGATCGAGAAGGGGAACAACAACAAGCTCAAGCAAGGCTCAAGGACGGCTACAAGGTGTCAAGCGACGACGTGGTGGTGAACATGAGGGAGCCGGGAAACCTAGCGAACGCGGCAGCAACGGATACGCTGGCCAGCGCGCAGGTGGTAAACGCTACAAGAATGTATGCAGTGAAGAGGCTGCAGCTGACAAGCATCATGCGGAGAGCAGCAGAATGGCTGTACGCTCGTGACCAAGACGGCTACGACTCATGTCGTCGAGGGGGAGTGTTGGAGGTGCAAGATGTGCACGTACATCGACGCCAGAGTAGTATCCTATGTTACGGCATATGGAAGGTTCTAGAAGGATCTAGGCATAGTGATAGGTCTTAGTTAGCGGATGGTTGGTTAGCTCTCACTTCGAGATTGGTAAAGCCACTGACGAGGCCCCGGCGGGGGCCGAAACGCGTCTGGCACGCGTTCAATCCAAGTCATTCACATCTACTCGATTCTACATTCCTATAGGTTATGAGCC